TTGTTTTCTACCCCTCTTCTGGTTTTCTTGTTTCCACACTATAATATTTACATGTTGATTTATATCAGCATACTGTTCATAGCTATACATAGTTCTTTCTATAATCTCACATAGAATGCTCCATCATTTATACGTTGTAAGGTTTCTCTCAGACCTGCCCGTGTTCTTATATGTAAACAGTGTTTCTCAAGGTAAGTTATAAATTTCTTCCAGTCTTTTTGGAACGTCTGGTCGTCCTGCTCACAGATTCGTCCGGTCAGCCTGGCTAATTCTGCGTACTCTACCATCTTTGTTTGCCATTCCTTGATAGTCGGCAGATCTTGATGTTTCCATCCTTGAGCTATCAAAACTTTGCTTTTATATGACGTGTTTCCTTGTTGGGCTTTTAATGTCGACCAGTCTAGAAACTCCGCTAGCAAAATGACTCTGATAACAACATGGGGTTCTACTGCGTTCTGGACCGCTTCCAAAGGCAGTGCTCTGCAGAGAACGCCTTGCTGATCTAATCTGGCCAGCATGTCTGCCTGCAGGGGCTAGATCCCTCTCTCTTCCAGGAAGGGTGCAGTTGGCACAGCAGTGCAAGCAGATAAAAAAGGCCCTCTGATGCCCCCTCAGGCTCCATCGGCAGTGCTGGGTTTATCCGGGAGGACCTGCTTCTTAAGAGGAAGTGAGATCCCACTGCTACCCCCATCCAGAGGAGACCAACCAGTCCGTCACCAGGAACCTGCTCTGCACTGAGTTGCTCCATCAAGCTCAGCAGAGTGCAGGGCAGACTGGCAGAAGCTTCCTGGGGTTGCAGCCCCCCCAGCAATGCCGTGAATTGAATCTAGGACCCTCTGCATGTGACCCTCAGTAAGACCGCAGTCCTTATGAATGAATAAAGGGCAATTTAAATAGGAAGATAGTTTTGCACGCCAGTCTCCAAGCGGTGTGAGATTCCAGGGGTTCCAGGCACTTGCCCAGAACTCTGTCATGAAATTCTACTCAATATTGATCCAGATCAGAACTCCAATGTATACTTAGCGGAGTAAGAATAGACCAGAGGCAATGAATACTT